GCTTGCGTTGACTGCTTTGCCACTTTTGCTGCTTTTTCGGCTGTCCTTAGCCGGTTTCTCGGTGCCCTTCCTGGCCCTTCCGTCACAGCTGCTTGTCCGTTTGCCGCTTACTGCTTCCGGAATTTCCCGGCGGTAGATTTTGTTTTTCCGTTCTGCTGCTGCAGTCCGGCCGCTTTCTTATCTCCGCCTTGTGTCACTGCCCGTCGCTTGGCTTGCGTTAGGCCAGTGTTGCCGTGTAACTCGAGACTGTGAGTTTGCGGTGTCTTTCTTTCTCTTTCGAACTCGTAGTTCGCAAGACACTCTTTTAATGACTGCTTTTTTTTGTTACAGGAGCAGTATTCCAGAACGGGGTTTCAACACATATATTTTTTGTATATATATATGTTTTATTAACTTTTGAATTACACCCCTTCTTTTAAACAACAGAACTCAATCGTTCTTGTTCCTTTTTTTTTCTTTCTTACCCAGTGTCCTTGGTTCCTTTTGATCCAACCGGAATCTCCTGTAGAGTCCCGTCCCTGACACACGGAATGAGAGATCCCGCCTCGGTAGTTGGTAAACTATCCCACCGCTGCCACCAAAATTTGTTGGATGTCGAGGAGGGTCGGGTGATTAAGAAGAAGTTCTTTGCTCGAACTTACTACGATGTCTTTTATTGCTCCTGTTCTTTACAACTTTCTTTACACGGCTACGTCTCACTGCGGTAAACTCTTCGGCTTGCGGAACCACACAGTGAGCTAGCAGTCCCAACTCAGTCTCTTCTCTGCTTCATCCACGCGATCGATTTATAGTAATCGATCGCGCTGATTCAGCAGGCCCACCGGTCTTAGCAACGGCCGTGCTAGTTACCGGTGCCGGTGTCGACACACGCTGCGTTTGCACTTCACACAACGCGGCGATGTGTCGCGCCCTGTGGCAACCAGCAGTTCTTCCTAGAACTGCTGCCTTCCTGCTATCTAACTAGGTCATTGAGCAATGACAGTGATGTCTCATCACATTGCTCAATGGCCTCACTTTCACTTACCTTTTAATACAAAAATTGGCGCACAACACACTCGTCGGATCTGCGCGAGTGGTACGATCGAGAGGTGATGGATGCAACAATAACCATTCTGGAGGAGTTCCAGGAACGCGACAGCGGCTGGGCGTTGACGCAGATACTGAACCTCACAGTGATTGTGAACAGTCACAATCCGATGCGCGCGGGATGTCAGATTAAAATGTCGCGCGAGGTTCAGCTCAAACACGCGGTAGTGAACGTACAGTCGTGGGACATTGCGTGTTTCGCGTGGGCAGTGGTCGCCGCGTTGTATCCTAGTAACAAACACTTTAATTGACCGTCGCAATATCCCGCGTACGCGAGTGTGTTGAACCTTGATGGAATAGAGTTTCTGATGACATTGCGCCAAATCGCCCGTTTCGAACGCAACAACAACGTGTCCGTAAACGTGTTTACGGCGGCGGAACAGGGACGCGGATACGTGTCGCTGCATCTCACGTCGAACAAGAAGGAGAAGCATGTGAATCTGTTGTATGTTCCCGATCAACATGATGGACACGTGGAACACTTTGCGTGGATCAAACATTTATCGCGTTTAGTCAGCTCGCAATTGAGCAAAATGAAGACAGCAAAGTACATATGCGATCGGTAAGTACAAATGAGTGGTGTAACAGTACCAATAATGTTAAATAAAAAGTAAATTTCAAAATTGTGAGATGATGAACTCATTAATCAATGTTGCGTATATTGTTCGTTTATTGCAACACGTACATAGATGTCTACACTACTTCTCCACGAGCGACAAGCTAGCGGTACATACCACGGATTGTGAACAAATGAACAACAGCGCAATTGTTCTTCCCGCTGAGGGAAAGAACTGTTTGACATTTGAGAATTACAACAACAAGGAACGGGTTCTAATGGTGGTGTACGTCGACTTGGAGTGCGTACTCGAGAAACAGGACAAAGAGGAGAACACATCGAGCGCGCACAAGTACCAAAAACACAGCGTGTTCAGCATCGGTTATTACGCGAGCTGCGAGCACATTGACATCGGATACAGATCTCACAGAGGCGAGAACTGTGTGCAGTGGTTCGTAAACGAACTGCTCGATCTCGCGAAACGTGCGAAGACCTTGTTCGCAACAAATGTACCCATGGCGAATCTCACTCCGGTGAAGTTCGAGCGGTTTACGAACGCTGAGTGTTGCCACGTTTGCGAACAACCGTTCGAGCGAGACGACATGAGAGTGCGCGATCACTGTCATCTGACGGGACGTTTCAAAGGACCCACGCACTCCGCGTGCAATCTGAATTACAAACAAGTCTACGTTGTTCCCGTTGTGTTCCACACCCTATCGGGATACGACGCGCATTTTATTATCAAGGATGTGGCCACCGCTTTCGAGGGCGAGATCAACGTGCTGCTCGTGACAAAAGAGACCTACATATCGTTCACGAAACATGTGAGCAGTACTCGATATGAAGACAATCAGAAGTGCGTGCAACTGCGGTTCATCGATTCGTACAAATTTCTGAGCACAAACTTAGAAAAGCTCGCGTCCTATCTCGACAAAAGCAAACTGCGAGTGACTCCAACGGAATTCAGCGATCTCTCCACCAAGGACTTCAAACTGCTCACGCGAAAAGGTGTGTTTCCATACGAATATGTGGACAGCGGTGACAAATTGTTGGAAACCAGTCTGCCACCGCGCGAGGCGTTTTACAGTTCGCTTACCGGCGAGACTGTGAAGGAGAGCGAGTACGCGCACGCGACGAAAGTCTGGCAACAATTTAACATCGACAATTTGGGATCTTACAGCGACCTGTATCTGAAGACAGACGTACTTTTGCTGGCCGATGTATTCGAAAACTTTCGTCGCAAGTGCCTCGCGAGTTACGGACTGGATCCCGCGCACTACTACACGCTGCCGGGATATACATGGGACGCCATGTTAAAGTACACTCGTGTGACGTTCGAGCTGTTGACNGACATCGACATGGTGATGTTCGTGGAACGCGGCATACGCGGCGGTCTGAGTCAATGTTCGAACAGATACGCCCGCGCCAACAACAGGTACGCGCAATCGTACGATTCATCCGAACCGTCGTCGTATCTGATGTACTACGATGTTAACAATCTCTACGGATGGGCTATGTGTCAACCGCTTCCATATGGTAACTTTGCGTGGGTGGAGAACGCGTACGAGTTCGATGTGACAATGGCCGCCGAGGACAGCGACGATGGCTACATACTCGAGGTCGATCTAACGTATCCGAAAGAACTGCACGACGCGCACAGAGATCTACCCTTTTGTCCAACGCGTGAGGAGCCGCGTGGTAAACATGGAAAGAATTACATCAAACTGCTCGCCACATTGTTCAACAANAAGCGATACGTGATTCATTACGTCAACCTGCAGCAGTGTCTGCGACACGGGCTTCGCCTGACGCGAATACATCGAGTACTGCGGTTCTCGCAATCGCCATGGCTGCGCGGATACATCGAACTGAATATCCGATTCCGCGCGAACGCCACCAACGAGTTTGCAAAAAATCTTTACAAACTCATAAACAACGCGGTGTTCGGCAAGACAATGGAGAACGTGCGCAAGTACACCGACGTACGACTCGTTACAAAATGGGAAGGACGATGCGGTGCGGAGGCGCTCATTGTTAAACAAAATTTCCACAGCCGCAGCGTGATTGGTGAAGATTTAGTGGCCATAGAACTGCGTCGTCTGGAAGTTTTATTCAACAAACCGTTGTACGTCGGTATGTGCATACTCGACATATCGAAGACCTGTCTATACGAATTCCATTACGGCTACATGGCGCCGTTGTACGGTTACGATTGCAAGATCCTCTACACCGATACCGACAGTTTGATATACCACATAAAGTGCGAGGACGCGTACGAGGATGTGAAGCGCGATATCGCTTGCTTTGATACGAGCGATTATCCAGCGGATAATCCATACAACATGCTTCGCGCAAACAAGAAGGTACCGAGACTTATGAAAGATGAGAACAACGGTGCTGTTATGACGGAGTTTGTGGGTTTGCGCGCGAAGATGTACGCGACTCGAGTGGGCGACAGCAAGTGCACGAAGAAGGTGAAAGGTGTGAAGAGAAGCGTCGTTGCGAGAACGATTACCTTCGACGATTACGTGCAATGTTTGCGGAACGCAACCAAACTGACGAGACAGCAGTCGTGCATACGATCNCAGTTGCATGAGGTGTTTACCATGTCGGAACGGAAGCTCGCTCTGAGCCCGCACGACGACAAGCGGTACATCATCCATGGATCGACCGACACCTTACCGTGGGGTCACTACAAGATCCCTAACTTAGATTAGATTATATTGTTGATGTAATAATAATAATACATTAAATGAAGTATATGTAATTGTTTGTTTATTGTATTAAAAAACATATGTACTACTTTATAATATATTTAAGAATAAAAAGAAAATATACATAACGGAATAATATTAGTAAACCACATTGTTCTTATTTATCCAGGAATTGTGTGAATTGTTGAGTCCCAACCACTTGACCAACACCTCGTTGCCTCGACGACGCAGAATCTTTTCTACGAGATACACATCCGGATGTTTAACCGCGTGCAACTCGTGCTCATAAAATCCGCCGGCTATTGGTTCACCGCAATACTCCTCGAGCAGGTAGGTCGCTGGTAAAGTTTGTTGCACCTTTTTAACGCGAAAACTGGGACACCTCGGTGGTCCAGTTTGAAGTGTAACCCTTTGCAAAGACAGTATTGTACTTGCTCACGCGCACAGGATTGCCTACTCTGAATCGCGCCGATCCTGCGATTTTGACGTTGCTGTACACCTTGCGCAAGAGTCTCTTGCTTGAAGCCGGCATTACGTCGATTGGTCGTGCGCCGATGGTGCGATGCTTGCGCGCGTTGTACTCTGAGCTCTCCTTGTCTATCACAACGAAACCATACTTACGCCGCCAGCACGCGCGACACAGTTCCGAGAAGTCGTTGTACGACATGTAGGTGTTGACATCCCCTCCGAGGGTGTGCCACCTTGTCGTGGTGGAGGGGTTTGAGTGCCGTGTTGATCCGTGGAGCTATGCCGGCGGGAACTTCGGTTCCTAGCAGGGTCACCCTTGCCGGACAGGTCCTCGGGGAGCGGCCAGACCAAGAGCGCACCCGGGCAGGCCGGGCTCGTTAGCCCTGTGTGGGCAGCCGGCCTAGGAGAAGGAAAACTCCGAAATTAAACCACACTTCTAAAAATAAATATGATGTACAGTTCAGAAGAGGAGTTTGACGTACCGGGCCAGAGTGATCGGACACTCAGGGCCCGGCGTCGGGGTGTTGCCGTCCCAGGCATCCCCATGTCGTTATCTCGAGATGGGCTACCCTCCACCTGCACCGCAGGGGTGGGGGGAGAACCTGCGACTGCGAAGAAACGTCCCGACGTGCTCGCGCTGGGAGCGCGCCGTATGTTCGGGGCGTCGGTCTCCCTCACGAAGGGTAGCGCCGTTGGCGCCCCTCCTGGGGGAGAGAGTACGAAGAAGCCGGCGAGGGAGCGTTCTTGCTCTCCACCACACGTCGGCTTGTCCGGGTCCCCACCTCCATCTGGGGGCTCGGACATGGAAGTGGAGGAGAGCGCCTCCACGCCGGCCCCCAGTACCAGCGGGGATATGGGAAGACCGCCGACCGTTGCCGAGTTTCTCGGAATTGTCGCGGCCGAGAAACGTGCCTCGGACGCGAGGCGTGCGGAGGCGGTCATGGAACTGGAGGATGAGTCGTGGCGCGACACCACTGGGCTACCGTCCTCCAGGCTCTTGCGCCCGGTTGCCTCCGCGGCTGAAATGGTGCAGAAGACGCACTCAGCCGCGGAGGCCGTGATGAAAGTGGCCACCACGTCGAAGAACCTTCACGGTCGTTATGTGAAGATTCTAAAAGACGTGGCGGCCACTATTAAGGGACTGGGCGAGGGCATTGTTGCTCTCGCCTATGTGCCTGGTGGGGCAATACAGCCGGAGTTGCCCGGGCCTGGCGCGCTCGTGGATGAGCGCGTCAGGACCCTGGAGCAGAAGCTCCGGATAAGTAAAGAGTCGGGAAGTATTATGTCTTCCCGACTCAAGAAGATGAAGGAGATTCTCGACGAGGCCTTCGAGAAGGGATTCTCCATCGGAGGCCCGTCGAGAAAGGAGACGGCGCACTGCGGGACGCAGGTCGAAGGGCCTGCGCTCCCTTCAAAAGGGACCGCGGCGACGATTATGCCGCCAAAGGATGGACTCCCGGGGGGTCCAGACAGTGGGGGAGGCAGATGAGCCCCTCAGGGAAGATCCCCCTCTGGACCTCCCGGAGGACAGATGTGTCCGCCTTTTGGCGGACAAGATAGGGGACTCTATGGAGGGCGAATCATCTCTCTAATTAGGAGAGAACTTGCCCCTCCGTCCTCAAGCGCGCCTGCAACCGTTCCCGCCCCGACCACCTGGGCGACGGTTGTTGGACGCAAGGCGCGAAGGAGGGGGAAAGAGCCTCCCCCTCCTCCTGAGAAGAAACCGCGCCCTCCTGCTGCTCCTGCTGGCGCGAGTCAGCACACCGGGGCGGCGGAGAGGGCAAAACTCGGCAGGCTCCCGACTGGGGCTGCCGTCCTCCTTACCGTGGGGGAGGGCGGTAGTTATGCCGAGGTGATGCGGAAAGCGGCGGCCGCCATAAACTTGAAAGAGGTCGGAATTTCCGGCCTCCAGATAAAAAGGGCGGCCAATGGCGGCATGCTCTTCCAGGTACCCGGGCCTGGAGGAGCCGAGAAGGCCGACGCCCTTGTCGAGAGAGCGTCGGAAACGTTCGAGGGCGTTGAGGGGGTAAGGTTCACCCGTCCCACAAAGTACGCGGAAATTTGCGTGCGGGACGTGGTGCCCCTCCTCTCCGCGGAAGACATAGCCGCCGCATTAGCGGCGGCAGATGAATGCCAGCCCAGTGAAGTTCGAACTGGGCTGGTTCGCTCCTCTCCCGTCGGGTACGGGACCTTGTGGCCCCGTATGCCCTTGAGGGCAGCCCGGCGGGTAGTAGGGGCAAAACGAGTAGAGGTGGGGTGGTTCAGCCTCCCCGTCGAGGCTCTGGCGGCACGGCGTATGCAGTGCTACCGGTGCCTCGAGTACGGGCACGTAGCACGCGGGTGCTCCGGTGTAGATCGGAGCACAGCGTGCTACAGATGCGGGGAGGCTGGCCANCTTGCCATTAGTTGTAGGGCTGCCCCCAAATGCACGTTGTGTGCGAGCCGGGAGCAGCCAGCAAATCACCGAATGGGCGGCGCGAAATGCGCCCCCAAGCCGGTCAAAAATGTAGCCACCGGGCGGGGCGCCGGAGCTCCGGCGCCTCCGCTACCACACGGTGGCAAGGAAGGTGGGGAGGGGACGAAGCCTGTCCCCTTCTCAACAAAGAGGGGGAAACGTCGGGCCCGCAGTGCCGGGTCCGGCGGAGAATCCTCCGGTTGGGAGGAAGATGGGGAGGGAGTCTATCTCCTCTCCCCGGAGGAGGACATGTCCCGATTGTGGTCGGAGGAGGGCAAGGGCGGGGAGGATACTTTTCCTTCCCCGTCCTCCTCCTTTGTGGGCACAAGGCCCGACGCGGAGAAAGGGGAAGAGGCCGCTGTGGCCTCTACCTTAAAAGGTCCCCCTGGTCTTTGGAAAGATCCGGAGACCGGGAAAAAGGGGAGTGAGAGCGGCGGGGTGCCCTCTTCTTTCTCCAGAAAGAGTTTGGCCGGGGCCAAATACCGCAAGGTTGCGGGGCCCCGGTCATCTAAAGTTGTGGCGCGAAAAGCGTCAAATTCGAGGGCGGGCTCCAATAAGAAGTCCTCCCTCAAGCGGCAGCGACAGAGGGGAGGCGATTCGACCTCCCCTCCAAAAGGGAAAAGTAAGCCGGGACCTAAGTCCTCCAAGCCGAGCATCTAGCTCGGCTTGGAGGCAGTTCCCGTGCTCGGGATGGAGAGGTCACGGCTCGGGCGTGACCTCTGGACCCAGCCCCTGTTAAGGGGCTGCTTGGTCGCGGGTACGGGACGTAAAAATTACATTGACCCCTCTTGATTTCGGTCACGGGGGGCGGGGACTTGGTGTGGCAAGTTGGGGAACTTGTCACACCATTGCACAAGTCCCCAGGGAGGGGCGGTTTGAGGAGGGTTATGGCCCCCTCCTCATACCGCAATTTAGAGGTGATGTATTGGACTGGGGGGGCCTGGAGATGTAATAGCCTTCCGGCTGCCACAGGCTCCCCCATCGAGTCCGGCGGAGGCCATGAAGGGGTTTTAGTGGGTGCGAGGCCCACACTCCCCGCCCAAATCCCCACAGGGCGGGGGTGCATAACGCATTTCCCTTCGTATAAAAAAAAAAAAAAGGTGTTGACATGATCGTTTTAAACGTGTCGAAGATTCGTGCCGTCCTGTCGGAACAGTAACAACAGATTCGCGTTGTCGCGAATCAGATGTTTTGGTATCTTGGCGTACGTTTGACAGAGATAAAAGCAATCGACTTTAGAGTGACAACCCATCGCAAAATACTCCCTTATCGCATCCTGTTTGTCGCAGACAACGAACACGAACACGGAATTGGGCAAAGCCTCGTTTGTCGGCACAACGTCGCAGTTGTTCGCGAACGTGAAGTAACCTATTTCATCCATTGATCCCAACAATTGCTCCAGATAGCGATATTTTGGTTGATGCAGAGACTTCGAATACACGTAAACGTTCTCGAATCGCACACCGTGCGGACTCTCCAACAAACGTATCAGAACGTTCGTCTTGCCGCAGTTGGACGGTCCGCAAACGATCGCGCGTATCGCGTTNGGCAGAAGAGGACCGTGCCTCTTTTTGCTTTGCGCGTTTTTCTCCCCCTCGTTCGATCTTCGCGTTTGTTCTTCGACATTCGACACCCGTATCACAAACGGTTGTTTAACGAAACGCATGTCGCCATCCGTTTCGCGCTTGCGCAGCGCGTCGGCGCAATTCCAAAATCGTTTGTTTAAAATAAATACAACAACAAAAAAACAGTTGTTGAATCGCCGATTGCTCAGTCGTTGCGACAAGCGTAGCGCAAGCAGATCGCGAGCGAACTGAACAAACGTCCAAAAGCGATTGGTCGTTGAAACCGCGTCGGATGCGTTTCGCGAACCGCGCAGGTCTGTTGAACAGCGCTATAAACGCTTTGCCGTTTGAATTGCATATACCGGGCTATCAATTTTGCGGACCCGGCACAAAGCTTGCCAAACGGTTGGCGCGGGGCGATCGCGGAATAAATCCGTTGGACGCCGCGTGTCGCGAGCACGACATCACCTACTTGCGCAATTCCGAACTCGCCGCGCGTCACGACGCCGACCGGTTGCTCGCTAAAAAAGCGCGCAAACGCATAACAGCCGCCAACTCTACTCTGGGAGAAAAAGTTGCCGCAACGGCTGTTTGGGCGGCCATGAAGGCCAAACCGAAGCTCGGCGCGGGCTCGAAGAGACACAAGACAGGTAAAAAGAAAAGACATGCGAAAAAGAAAAAAAGAATTCTACCGGTTGCGAAACGCGGCGGCTTGTTGNCTCTATTGCCTGTGCTGGGAGCCATCGGATCGTTGATCAGTGGTGCGGCTGGTGTAGCAAAAGCCGCTGGCGATCGAAAGGCCGCTGCGCGCCAATTGGAGGAACTGCAACGACACAATCGCGCGTTGGAAGGTCGCGGATTGTATCTTGCACCTTACAAGCGCAACGCATTCGGAAGAGGTTTTCGCGGTAAAAAAAACCACGCGGAAGCAAGCGATAGATGTCGCTTTACCATCCGGTGTTACCACAAATGTGCAACTCGACGCGCTTGCCCGACGGCTTCGCATACCGTTCTTCAAGGGTGTATTTATGCGCAACGCCTTTCCCGCGCGCGTACGCGCGAACGAGAGCGGCATCGTCAATCTCGACGACGCTATCGGACCGGGCACGCATTGGGTTGCCTACGCCAAGAAAGGACGCGGTGTACTTCGACGGCTTCGGCAACTTGCGTCCGCCGCGA